GGATTCCCCCACCCACCAGCCAGTGTGCACTCCGCTCCTCCTCCTCTTCGGTCGTTTCACCAGTCACAGCAGGAGCATGGACTTTCCTTCTCTGCCTCCTCCAGCAGCTGCCCACTCAAAGGCAGCACTGCAGCAATCCCTGCCCCGCCTCTTCATCTGAGTGGACAGCTGCTGGAGGAGGGAGAGAATGGAAGTCTGTGAGTGGGGAATACAGCCAAAGAGTGGGGGATGGAACCATACAGCACCTGTAGTGCCAGTATGATGATCCAGCATGATCCAATGATCCAGATTTGTGCCCATCTCTAGTCATGACGTAGGGACGTGGTGGCGCTGCGGGCTAAACCGCAGAAGCCTGTGCTGCAGGGTCAGAAGACCAAGCAGTCGTAAGATCGAATCCACGCGATGGAGTGAGCTCCCATCGCTTGTCCCAGCTCCCGCCAACCTAGCAGTTCGAAAGCATGCAAATGCAAGTAGATAAATAGGGACCACTTTGGTGGGAAGGTAACAGCATTCCGTGTCTAAGTCGCACTGGCCATGTGACCACGGAAGATTGTCTTCAGACAAACGCTGGCTCTATGGCCTGGAAACGGGGATGACCACCGCCCTCTAGAGTCAAACATGACTGGACAAAAATTGTCAAGGGGAACCTTTACCTTTACCTTTACCTAGTCATGATGCTATGAGTTCATACACTAGATTTTCATCATGAATTCTTTTCAATTTTTTTATGACATATAGCTAGTCTGACAGAACTTGCCAACCTGAGATACATCTTGTCTTCCATGCTATGAGCAGAAGGTGTCCCTTTGCTGTTTATGGCTACATGGGAAAGCAGTCAGCATACAGAGCTTGATTTGCTTGATTCCAAGAATGCAAAACTAACAGCAGTGAGTAGGCCAGTATCATGAACAACAGTGATGAACATGCAAGCAAAGAGCTCTGTGTTTGACCCTCAAAGGACATGTGCTGGCTTGTGTTCCTTTCATTCTTGATGGGATCCTCCTAGGCAATTGTTTTGAGGAAAACTGACTCTTCCATTGACCTTAAACTCCTACACGCTAAAAAGCTCGACTCTATTCAAATGATCTGAAGGTTAAAGTTATGCCACCTTCTATTCTCTGAGTCCCTGGACTCCAAAGTATCTTACAGCAAGGTCAAATGAGGAACTGTTCTTTTCTGCTACCTTCCTTTCTCCCAAGTGTGGGAAAGGGAGGTAGCAAAACGAACCTTCTGGCTCCCCCTCCATCTGCTTAATGCTCCCCACAGTGCTTGCTGATTATCAGACTTTGATCAAAGCCGTTTCACAGGGATATGGGGAATGTTGCACAGAGATGCCTCATTTGAGAAGTAATGATGGGCATCCATTTACTTGCCTTTGTGACTTGTTTAGTTCACTTGCAAATAAGGCCCCTGTAATGTATAATATTTTGGTCCCTGCTGTCTTGGCAGCACTTTTTTGCAAAGAGGCAATGAGGAAAGACTGGTGGCTCAATTGACAGTGGCCATGGAGAGGAAATTGCATCATTTCAGCTGTAAATCCTAGAGGGGCTTTTAGTAGAGGAACCTTCGGCACTACATTCATCATCTGCTGTATTGTCACATCACGCACACAGCTGGGTATACAGTTGCACTTCAATGACCTTTTGCAAGTCTCAAAATAACTGCAATTTTAAAAATAGTCAGTGGTGTGTAGATACACCTGTACCTTTGCTATACAGATGTGCAGAGGGAGGGTACTGGAAAATGGGGTGAATCTTGCTTTGGGGGTCTCAAGTGAAACCTTCAATGTAGCATCTAATACTTTCTGCAAAAGCCAGCATTGTATTGTGCCATCTTTAGAGTTTGAGATGTTTAGGTTCAAAAAAATTAATTCACTGATATCCAGTACTAGACATTGGAAAAATTGGTTAAAAACTTAAATTTCTTAATGCTTAAAACTGAAAATGTTTACATTTTTAAATTAGTATTGTTAATTTATTAATTAAATGGGCAGTTCTGAAACAAACTAATTTTTATAATAATAGCATATGGGTCGACACCACAGACCCTGATGGCCTATTTATTATTGGCTCTTCCGAAATAGCCTTTTTGTTCTTCCAGAATTGCCTCTTCTATTCTAGCCTTTTCCCTAATTGGTAACTGTGGCGGCCGCCCCACTTCACTCCTGTCAATCACATTCACGGTCTCATTTACATGAGCCTATGAGAGGAGTGGAAGGGTAGAGTCACAAGAGAGAAAGGGCTTGGCAAGAGAGAAAAGGAGGGGGAGAGTAATTGATGGTTGTCGAGAAGTGGTGGGGAGAAACTGCAGAGAGAGATAAATAGTCAGGGAGATAGTGATAAGAGATAATTAATAGTGATAAGCTGGTTAAGATCAATAAATATAGTAGGTGGTGATTGTTTATGTGGAAAATATCTGACACATGAATGATTTGATTATAAGAATTAAATAAAGAACATCTGTGATCCTGAGCAACTTTAATACACCTTAATAAATAAATAATAAATAACTTTTGTTGACAGTAATCAGACAAGTGTTTGTCTACAGACCTTGGTATTGTGGATAAAAGAAAATCCACTGGTGGCAGCGATAAAAAGAGGAACCGTCTCAAGTGGTCAGAAGGCATAGCATGAGCTCCTTGTGTGGTGAAGCAGGCAGGGGCCACGAAGAAAACGTCACAATAACAAATCTCATAATACATTTGTTAGCTGGAATGATGAAGTCCCTCATGTCTGAAAACACTCAGGCTGGTGAAACCTATTTGTCCAAAAATGTGGAAATCCATCTCCCTATTTCAATAGGATAGACTTTTCAACAAGAAAGACTCTAGAAAGCAAGCAATTATTTGAGAAATTTCAAATACTCTTCTTTAGCAAAATAGTACAGATGCTATGTCTGACAGTACAGTCTTGAGGAAGATTTAGCTACTCAGATATTTTAAAAGACTACTATATAGTCATCAGTTACTTAGCCTTATTTTCCTGCATGACAACGTAGGATACAAGAGCCAATTTTCTACAACATACACCAGTTCCATGGGACAGTCACAGAAATCAAAAAACTACTGACTCCCAGTCTCTTGTGGGTAATTTAGTTTAAGAAATGTTTTTAAATGTTTGCAGAGCCAGCCTCTGCCTCATGGAAGAAGATCAAGCTGGGATGATTTGCATGGCCCATCACCTAAACTATTTCTGGAGAAATTTCGAAAGAGTTGTATTATTAGCACAATGATTTACCGGTTTCTTGATGTCACTCTATTTTCCATTTCTTATTGTGAACTGTCAGCTTGTTGCAAACTGTTCTGAGAAATATGTTACACAGTGGCTATACATATATGCAGACCTATCCATATTTTAGAACAGAACCACTAGAACCAAGGAAGTAAATAAACAACCAGACTCATAAAAATGTATGTAGCCTTCCTGCAATCTTAGAAAAGGAGAAAGCATGAGAGGCTGAGAGAAGAAGCCACAAAAATGTACCATTATCCCACCATTTGTTTAATTATAATACACACTGCTCTTAATTTTGTAAACAATTAATTACAATAGATCTTCAGAAAGATTACTAGCAATACTTGGAGTGCATTACCTGAAATGCTGCCGGAGGCAATTTCTCCCAATAGCTATATAAGTGCACATGGGCTACAACCCATGCAATTACTATTGCTTCTCTAACTGGTATCAAGATATTAAAAAACACACACAAACCCACAGACAGCATGCCCCAGGCCCCCTTTCTTTGGCCAAAGGTAGACATCTCTGCCTTGATCTCCCTGTAGTCATTTAGCTGGTCAACAGAAGCTGAGGAAGCCATTGGACTATGTTTCCAACAATTTAATGGGCTTAGGTGAAAGGGATGAGGAGGATATGGAAGACCAGTACTTTTCCTCCATTGCACACACACAGAATATTCTTTCACTGAGAGCAGTGATAAAAAAGAGTGCATGTCTATGAAAAGCACTCATCTTTCAGAAACTGTAGATATCAAAATTTTGGCCACCTAACTGAATGAAACAAGTGTGAGCCTAAAGAACTTTAAAAACACACACACCATTTTAATCTGTTTTAGAAGAGGCAACCATGTTAGTCTGTGCTAATGTATGAGGCCAAAACATAGGTCTGAGGATGTGGAATTGTCCACGAAAGCTCACATTAAAATATAGCACTTGGTCTATAAAGTGCCACAATGTTTTTGTCTTCTTTATTTTTCTTTTGTTTTGGCTTGACATTTTAATATGAACAGCTGTTTGTGGTGCAAATTACATACACATTGTGGGCACATTGTGGAGACACCTGAGAACATCCAATGGGTTGCTGGGAAAGAGAAACAAACAAACTATAGCACCCCCTACAGACACAAAAAAAGATAAATCAATTAATCTCCACTTTAGGCCGACACAAATCAGTATTTTCAAAATGACATGGTCATATGATTCTCTAACTTCAGGTGATAAGAAATTGTAAAAATGCTACCTTCCTCTTAAAAAGAAAATCTGTGAGATGCTTTCTATTTGGTGTATTGATGAAATAAATTCATCTAATGCTTTCCTTGCAGACCCTTCAGTATCCTCAAAATTGTGCTTCCCAAGCTGATTACTCATACATATAACTTTTCCCCTGAGTGTAAAAAAAAAAATTTAAAGGTGGCAATGTTTAGATATGGAAAGAAGAACTAAACACTTCCCCTGACCATTTGAGTTTTGTTCTGTTTCGAGTGGTTTCCAACCTGGGGCAACCCAGGTGTTCTTAGACTGCACCTCTCAAAAACTCCAGCTAGAACAGCCGGTGCTGAAGGCTTCTGGGAATTGCAGTCCAAGAACACCTGGGTCACTCAAGTTTGGGAATTGCTGCTCTACTCAAAATTGGACAGTACTGATACTAGAGTTTTTTTTTTTAAGGTGAAAATTGTTCATATACCTCACATGTCATATCTAGTTTCACCCTAAGATACAATCAAATGAAAAAGAAAATGAAGTAGAAAGATCATAGTTTACTTACCTGGTCATCTGCAAAAATGAATGGTCTTTTAGATTTCACAGCTTCCTCCCTGAGATTCGGATAAAAGATGTCCCTCACACGTTTTGCTAGCTTCTCATCAGGAGTTTCAAACAGTGGTCTCAGTTGGTCCTGCAGAATTTAAAAGAGAGCTGTCACTCACATGAAACATGATGACAGATTCATTCAATTGTTACAACACACAGGCATTAAATGGAATCCACCCTTAAATAACAGTGACAAAAAGTGACAATGGCATCACTAAACAAAGGACATCTTGTCCATTGCCTTGCAGTTATTCTTCGGAGGTTCTAATGGTTCTGACAGTAACCTTTAAAAATTTATCTGAGGCATACCACAAGCTCTTTTTTTAATTATAATTTTTGAGACCACACGCAAAATCAACCATTAGGATAAATCAAAAGGAGAAAAGTTTCAATTTAGGAAACAGTACCTCGACAGCATCTTAAAAAGCAGAGACATCACCTTGTCAACAAAAATCCGAATAGTCAAAGCTATGGTTTTTCCTGTCGTGACGTATGGAAGTGAGAGCTGGACCATAAAGAAAGCTGACCGCCGAAGAATTGATGCCTTTGAATTGTGGTGCTGGAGGAGGCTCTTGAGAGTCCCCTGGACTGCAAGGAGAACAAACCTATCCATTCTAATGGAAATCAACCCTGAGTGCTCACTGGGAAGGACAGATCCTAAAGCTGAGGCCGAAATACTTTGGCCATCTGATGAGAAGAGAAGACTACCTCTGGGTAGTTGGGCGGCATATAAATGGAATAAATAAATAAATAAATAAATAAAAGACCCTGATGTTAGGAAAGTGTGAGGGCAAGAGGAGAAGGGTACGACAGAGGATGAGATGGTTGGACAGTGTCATTGAAGTGACCAACATGAATTTGGCCCAGCTCCGGGTGGCAGTGGAGGACAGGACGGCCTGGCGTGATCTGGTCCATGGGGTCATGAAGAGTCGGACACGACTAAACGACTAAACAACAACAAATATAATACTGTATAGATAACTAAGATGGTACTGCTGCTTCAGAAACATGCTACCTAGGAGCCAGGAAACTCAGAGAACGTGGGAAACAAAAGAAATTTAAAAGGGACTTGGGAATCTGTGAGTTACTAAGGCACAATGTATTGGGAATAAAGGTCAAAGTATCTTACTATTGGGGCTGTGGATAATGAAAATTTTCATATTTCTTTCATTTTAGGTTCTTTTGAGGACTGCTGCTTTCATTTTCCCATTTGTGTATGTGTGTCCTTTAGATTTACATGAAAGGGAAAGCCTCTTTGGCGTTTCCCATTTGTATTTTCCCCATTCATATTTGCTGCCATTCTAAAAGACCTAGAGAATCCTTAAAAATTCCCCCAAAGAGGAGAGAAAATACAACCAATATACTTCAAAAGTAGGCAACATTACAGAGAAAGAAAAGCATCGGATGTATGTAGGCAATGCCAGCCGCCCAAACAACAGAGACCTTCTGGGTGTGGACAGCACAATAGAAAAGATGTTAGGAATAAAGATGGGCATTAACCATTGGTTTGGTGGTCCGCGCCAGTAAAGCCAACCCCTGCACAGCTGTTCTGCATTTTGGCTCCTTGCCCCCTACAGCAGGCACCCACTCAGAGGCAGTGCCTGGAGGAGGCAGGGCAGGGCACCAAACTGCAGAACAGCTGTGCAGGTGGTTGAACCGGCATGAACCACTGAACCTGTGGTCTGTGCTCATCTCTTGTTAGGAAGCAGCTATGCAGGCAATCTTCTTGCTATGCCCACAGGCATAGCAAGAGAAGAGAAAGCAGGGGTCAAAAGGCACCACCCACCAAAGCAAGCAACAGAACAACACCAAGAAGAACAAGAGAAAAAAACACCCCAAACTGTGTCCAACCAACCCCCTCCAAAACCCCGTGATACACTGGCATAATCATAAAGTCTACCCTATTGGCCCACACGTCCCGACAGGGTGCCTCTTTCGTCTTTATGTCTCTTGTGAACTAGTACTTTTGTTAAACTTCAAAGGGACCACCTCTTCCGGGTTATTTTGTTTTGGTTTTCCCCATGGATGTTCCATCTGGCGCTCAGAAAAAAAAACAATAACAAAAACTAGTAAAAACTCTTTCCAACAATCAAGAGCAAGGCAAGTGAGACTCCAGAAGCAGGCATCAATTCAAGCAATTGAATTCAGCAATTCAAGAATGGAAAACAGCTTTCACCACCACCACCACACCAAACAGATCCAACCCCATTCCCAATACACACATTTAACAGAATAAATACACAATAAATTAATCAAATGCCATTCTTTTTTTAAAAATGTATCAAACAGAGAAAATACCCCCAACAGAGCAAAATTTTGAAAAAGGGAAGTCCCTCTCCCAAAAATCAAGAAAAGCAGGTGAACAGATGAAGGTGAAAAATACAATCACACCACAAACCAAAACTAGCAAAATATGCAGAGATTTCTCTCTCCTCTGCACCTGATGACTTCTTCTGTACTCTTTGCGTAGAGAAGGTGGCAGCAGCAGGCAGGCCAAGCAGTCAGCTGCAAAAAGAATTCAAGAATGGAAAAGAACAGACCTCTCCCTCAGAAAACCCAAGGGGGTGATCCTTAGAGGAAATGTAGAAACCATGAAATAAAACATGAAACATTCATGTACTCCTGTCAACACAAATCTCACAACCTAAATTACACAAAACAACTTCTTTTGTTTTGAGCTCTTATTTAAAGAGGAAATGCCCATTTCTAGTTATATTTTAATACACAGCATTAGAGATGGGCACAAATTAAACAATGATTCATCAAATTCATTCAAAAACTGTGAATTCATTTATTTGTATTCATATGTATCAATGTCCCTGATGAATCATGAATAGAGATGGCACTTTGTCTTGGTTCATGGGTTGTTACGTTTGATGACCCACGAGCCATGAATTGATCCCCCCCCCAGTGACCAGATGAACAATGAATCAATTCATCATTCAGTGGATCTTTCTTTCTTGCTTGCTTGCTTGCTTTCTCTCCTCTTGCTATGCTCCACGGGGCTTAGCAAGAAGAGGGAAAGCATCTTGCTATGCTCCACGGGGTTTGCAAGAAGAGGGAAAGCAGGGATCAAAGCAATCCTGCAGCACTTTGATCCCTTTCCACCTCTTGCTAAGCCCCACAGGCCATATCAAGAGAAGGGAAATTAGGAATGAAAGTGATCACACAGCATTTTGATCTCTTACCCCTTCCTCTTGCTAAGCCCCACAAGGCATAGCAAGAAGAGGGAAAGCAGGAACCAAAGCAATCCCACAGCACTTTGATCCCTTTCCCCCTCCTCTTGCTAAGCCCTGCGGGGCATAGGAAAAGGAGGGAAGGCAGGGATCAAAGTGATCCTGCAGCAACTGGATCTCTCCTCTTCTTATGCCGCGTGGGCATAAGAAGAGGAGGAAAGGGGAACCAAGCCATCCCCCAGTCCTGGGGGTGGGATTCCCTTCAGGCAAGCTTTAGCAAGCCACCTGCTTATGCCCCAGAGGAACAGCTTATCTGAGGGGCCATAAGCAGATAGGGAATTAAAGGATGAATATAAAAAGTTATATTCGTTGCTTCGTATTCGTAGGGGTCTCTGGACCCCAAGAATACAAAGCAATGAATATCTGACAAATCAGGGATATTTAATGAATATCCTGATTTGTATTTATATTCGTCCCCATGTCTAATCATGAATCAACAAATTTTTAGTGATTTTTGATTCATCAATTTGTATGGCTATAAAACAGCCCCTGAAGCATCTAGAGACACAAGACTTGCAGGGAAGCTTCCTCCAACCCTCCTCAACAATCTCTCCAGGTTTGTGGAAGTTTGTGTTTAAGATTTCTAAGTTACTCACCCACAAGGAGTGCCACTCAGGAAAGTTCTTTCCAGGCACCTAGAGACACTAAAATCACAGAGAAGCTTCCCTGCAAATATGGCTTCTGCAGTTGCTTGGGGGGCATTTTAAATGGTTGTCAATTCAAATATGAATTGACAAAATGATTCATTGATTTGTCAGAAAAAAATTATAAATTCATAATTCATGATTTGTAGACCTTGATGAATCAGAAATCAAAAGGAATCACAATTTTTCTGATTTATGCCCATCGCTACACAGTATGCATCTCCTAATGTTGAAACAGCCTAATCTGTCAAGAGCAAGGGATTTACTGAGTATTCTTTCTATCTGTAATTCGAGGCAAGTGACAAAACAAAAAACAACTTAAGCTTCCCGGATGCCTTATTCAGAGCTCCTGGGATGGTAAGTCAAGATAGCAATGACTTGGTCATGTTGTGCAAACTGGACAAGATCTAAGAAAATAGAGGGAAGAGAGGAATAAGGAAGAACTCGTTAGACGGTGATCCTTTTGGAGGAAGATATTTAAATACATAAATAGTGATGGGTATTTTTGTGTATATTCCATCCCTTCATAGTCTTTATGGCAGGGAGAAGCCTGTATCTCATTAAAATACATGAACCAGTCTGTTTGGAAGTGATTCTTCCCACTGATTTCAGTGGAAGTTAATTCCACAGAATCCTGCCTTGTATCACAGCTGAAAGTAACACCTACTTTGATAGATGGAAAGGATTTCATGCCAGAGAATGCTGAATTATTTGGAAGAATAACAAAAGCCTCTGGGTGTATTTTAAATATTTAGAGATTATCTGCTTTGTCTTGTATGTATGTATGTGAGTGAGTGAATGGCATTGGCCAAACAAGAAGTGACAATTAGCACAGAAATTATCAGACATCATAAAGTGAAGCCCTGTCAGGCTGTTTCAGCACGAAGATATATGCAGCGTATAGCTGGTTTGGCAATAGCAAAATACATAAATGACGGGTCCACTTAAAACTGATGTATTGAAGTGCATTATATTGTCTTGAAGGAAGTGTGCAACCAGCTTTTATAGCTTGTATGTTTGCAAGACTGTTGGGGACAAGTGATTTAAAAAAAAATTAATAAGAATTCTTAAAGTTTGGAAATTTTTTCTTTAATGTGCAGGACAGAAATTGGATGTTAACAACATGAATGTGGGAGTAGCCACCCAGACTTGAGACCTTCTGTATTAAGCTCTTAAAGGTGTGGGCCTGAATCCCTATGCCTTCA